CAATGACAATTGACGCAAGCACCTAGAATAAAAATTTCTATTAAAATGTAGATCATTACGTGTTTGCAAAGGTTACAAAGAGTTACTATCTAGTAAGTGTAAATAAGCAATTAAGGCCTTAGGGATAAAAATATACAATTGCGTTAGATATAATTTCTGGTAATACTTTCTACACCCATATTAAGTTGAAAATTTAATACAATCTCCTTAAATGTTTGAATGAACAATGATTTATTACAACTACAATTTGTTTGTACGTTTTTTGTTTAAACGCGAATTCCCAGTAAAAGGTTGGCATATTTTAATGTGTGGTTAAATATTGACAGCTTATCACTGATAATTGCAGCTTAATTTTGACGTGTATTCCCTGTCTGCAGCCACATTTTACTTGATAATGTCCCGTAACTTCGAATTATTCAGCTGCCTCGTCACACGATTTCTGTGAAACTTTTTGAAGCCACGTTGCGGATAGAGAGTAAATGTTTGTGGGTTTCCATTGGAAGCTTGAAAAATAATATTAATGAAGAAATTTTGAAAGCAAATGAACAATATTTGAAATTTCACATACTTTTCGTAATAACTAGTAATCATTTTAACAAAAACTGCTCATTAGGTAACATTCATATAAGAAAAAATCCTTTCTTTCATTTGGCTTACATTTCAAAAGATACATTATTAGTCTTTCTCCATCTAGTGGAACTGTCCTGTATCGAAAGAAGTGCTGGATTCCTGATGGTGTCTTTGTAATGATTTGATATGTACGTTTTCAAAGGGCTATGGCCTCTACAGGAATCCCGTAAGTGATACGGTTCTCCCATCCACGAAGCTACTAATATTCAAGCTGCTAGAAGTTGGGAGTGTTAAATTGTTCTATTTACTAGTATGTTTTTAAAATGGCAAGAGGAACAATGCACGAGTCAGTTATTTGGGAAAAGTAATGAATTCCTAATTTCCTGCCGGTGACATGCAGTTTGATGACAATTGTTCACCCAGCAACGTAGGCATTTCTTAATAAATGCTTCGATAATCTTGATTGTAGGTGTGTGGTTGTTGTTTTCAAGTAGCCCAACATATTATTCATAAAATCATGAAGAGAAAAACCTTGCGCGATTGCTCTTCGTAGTGTCGAAGTAGTTGTGCATGCAGATTACTATAGTATATCATCAATTTACATCCTGATTTGTGTAAATACTAAGTGGTTGATTCGGCTCGAAGCTGATTCTCGATATATCGCTGGCTGCGCGAATTTAAAATTCCTGTGAGTGGCGTAATGAAAAATGTGTTTGCAGATCGGAATGGTTCTGGAATAATGAGGACTTCACATCGCATTCTGCAACTAGGTCCTATTCACGATCAATTAATCACAATCTATCGGTGGAAAAACAGGAAGCGAGGTGGACAGATGTGAATGCCATTGCTATTCCAGAAATGAATCGCAAATCGTAGTATCAGTTCACTCGAGTATCAATGACTTCCCTCGCGGTTGGCGATCGTACCGAATTTATGGTAGTTAGTAAATACGTCAACGAATATCCATTAACAACACTAAACGCACCAGCAGTAATTTCATTTCTCATTATTGAAACGATTAGAATGAACTGCGTGTACGTATGGAGAATGTCAAATTAACAGAATTACGGTTGATCTTTCGCTCTTCACTGACAATGATCAATGTTTTATGTTGGAATTAAGACCTCCAACAAGGGTCGGCAATCCGCAGCCCGCGATCTCATCTCATGCAGTTCGAAAGTCCTTGACAGTTTTCATTACGAAACTGAACAAAACTAGCTCTTTTTGTTCTTGAATCTACGTTTACAAACTCACGTTTGAGAAAACCAGTTCGCTACCCAATCTCGTGGTGTTGTCTCCGGCGAATGGCAAGTCGGCCTGGCGTCCGTGCCGATGATAGCCGCGAGGCGGCTGGCGGTTAGTGGAGGAACGGCGCTGCTGGACGATTCACATGCCTTGCAACGTCGTTCAATGCCCTTACCTTTCAGTACGGTAATACTAGTTTTACGAAACTAATCTGAAACTGTTTATAAAAAACAAGTCATAAAACAAGTGTGTTGTAGAAGGTCAAAATGTTTGTGATCCGCCCTCTCCGATTTTATTTCAATTTCATTGTAGATTGTTTATTTATTGTTTATTTAAATTTCATTTCGTGCATTAGTTCGCGATGTATTTATTTACAGTGTCCCACTTGCGAACTAGAAAGCGATGTTTATCCACGAGCAAAAATATTGAATCTCAACGGTTTCTATTTGACGAAGAAAAAGCACCTGCTCATTGTTCTCAAGCACCGAAATAAAAGAAAAGGGAGAGGGGAGGGGGGAGGGGGACGAGAAATCATTTATAGGATAGACGAAAAGCCGCTGTTCTCACTGGGCGGAGGTCGTCTCGCTCTTCCATCAACGGATACCTCTCTCAACCGACCACCGCTAAGTTGAAAAATAGTCTGTCTTTGGCCACCGCGAAAAGTAGTGGGTTCAGCGGCTGAGCTGTGAGAAGGACTATCGTCGGAAGTTTCATTGTACAAAGGCAAGTACCAAGAAAATACATGAGCAACAGAAAGGAAGGGCGTAGTGAATTCTTCACATTTAGTTTCATTGTTGAGACAACACTGCAAGAAGAATTTAGTATACTACATGTCACTATTTTGTCGTGAAGTAAATCTTACGAAAAACTGGCGCAGACACGACTTATTACAAGTATTTATGTCAAAGAATGAAGCTACTACTGACTTTTATGTTCTGAGATAAGCTGTCAGTCTGAACCAGGCCTGGCCTACACGCAGGCCACATGCGGACCGCCCATTAAAATTGGGTGGTGTGATTTTATATTACAAATATTGGATCTTTTTATTCCTGCAGTATGTATACAAAACATTAATGAAATGAAAATGTATATGCGCTTCCGATACAAGTTGCATAAAACAAGGAAAATTATTTCCCAACGTATTCTGTTCAGCCAGTTAACTAAATTCAGACCCAACATCTCGACTAGACAGGTTCATAGGCAAAGAAGGCACAAGTACGACACTGTTGTCCTTAATATTCCAAGAAATTGGGTATGTCACAGTGACAAAGATTTCTTCAATAACGTATTACAGTTTACGATTAAAACAAGCGACCATCATTGTGTTTGCACAGTGCATGCACTGGAATTGAGGGAACGCCCCTACCGCGATCGAAGTAATTAACCCAGAATTAGACATAGCTCTTGTTGGGCCTTTAGATTCATAAAATAATATATGTAACCGATTCGTTAGGGTTATTATTATTAAAATAATATGCACTTTATTTTGGACACGCAATATAAGCTCGCATTGAATAAAAAATATCACACAAGATGTTACGAGCCATTAGAAATTGTGCATCAAATTTTGTTCAATATCGTTTGATAAAATAACGTACAACACTATAAGGCAAAATTGTTATCTATGTAAAGAATCTCATACCAACCATTACCAAAATAACATTTCTTGCATATATGCCAAGAAAGTGTGGGGTTCCTCCCTAAAGTAACGAAGAGGCATACTTCATATTCAGTTTTTCTTTCCTCATAGTGATTTTGAACGTATCCCGTTCACACAAACCGTGTGTGGACGGTTGTTGGTGATTACTGTTAGTGCTGAAAATATTTCGTAAAATGTAATGGCCTGGTTTTGCCATAAACCGAAGATAGATTTGGTGGTCAGGAGAGTGCGGAGTTGTTGATAGTGCCAGCTAATGAATATAGGCAGGATTGCGATTGCCATCCAGTCAGAAAGTATGTTCCATTAGTATGATCATTAAAATACATACTTCAAAATATTTAAGTGTTTTGTGCGTCATTACTAAGTTTGCCTTGGTTCTGAATAAATATTAATGATACTTGTGCAAATTGCTGATCATTCTGTATATTTTTACTCGAGATCGTGTATCGCAAAACAGTGGTTTTACATTCCTACATTAATGATTTCATTTTGAACCGTGCTTTCCTACATGCATGGTTCATTGGAGCTAATATTACTTTCCTGTATTTGAATTACACATGTTAAATGATATAATGACGACCGTTTCGGATATTACATAGTGAAGATTCATCTTGAAAATCTGACGATCAAGTGCCTTCAACTCGAACAAGTCATAGAGGAGCTCTCTCTCCCATACGAGTTCGAAACGTTGTGCCAAAAAGATAGAACTTTAATTTTCAAGAAGGTGGATTTTAAGGGATTCTGGGAAATGTGCTTATTGGTTAATTTATATATTCTGGCGTGTGATTTTCAATTAAACATGCAATATTTCCTGAACCAGCTTTACCAACTGTCGTAAGGACAGAGTTGCAAGGGTTGCTAGAGGAAATATTGCTCGTTAAGTTTAAAGTCCCATGTCAGAAAATATAATTTGTTACTGAAAACTATAACATTCTAACCAAATAACAAAAACTGCATTCACTGCATTCCTCATTTTATTATCTACGAGTATGAAAAATACACGGTTCCATTAAAAAATATAAGATTTACGCCATATTAAAGAGATAGAGATATATAAGAGGCATATAAAAGAGATACGGCATATTAAATGCCACACGACTTCGCAATGAGAAGCCGAAACCATTTCGATATCGTGAACTGTTTGGAAGTTATGGGGGAGGACCAGTTGGTGGAACTTCCTGTATGTGCGCATTTTCGATCTTTTTTCCTCCACTGATGCATATGTATGCTATTGATTTAGTGCATGATCCCGCGCTGACGAGTGTTTGTGTGTTGCAGGCCGCCGCCACGGAGGACGCGGGCGGCGCGGACGCGGGCGGGGGCGGCGGCGCGGGCGGGGCGGAGGGCGGGCGGCGGCGAGCCGGGCGGTGGAGCCGGCGCCCGACCTGAGGCGCGCTGTGGGACATGGACGGCGCCGACTACGAGTGCGACTGCCGGGCCGCCGCCCGAGTTCCGGCTCCCGCCGCCGCGCGCCACCCTTCTTGCAGGAGAGCGACTGCCTCCGGAGGGCCCGCTGCTCGACCTCGGACCTGCGACGCTGTGCCTGTGAAGTACCTAGAACCTCTTGCCACCCTTTGCTCAATGAGGTATCTCAATGAAGTAAAACTTGCTCATGAGGAATCTCAAAGGAGGCAGTATTTTCTTTCGGTTTAGGCAAGATTCCGCATTAAACAGAGCAACACTGGTACAACTATTGATTTGGCAGGACCGCGATATATGTTTATATTATGATTTCCGCCTTGTATACTTCGTTACATGAGGCACAAGTTTTACTGGAAAAGCAAGAAAATTTAACATTTGTAGGTTAGATAGTACAGAAAATATATATTAAATTAAAAAAAAAGGATTATTATTCACGTTTCTAGTTATTTTCCCTGGCTTTGTCTGAAAAGTAATTCGAATATAAGTTGCATTTAATTTCATTCAATAGTGTGGAGAAATTGTTCGGGGCAAACCTGTGCACATGGAAGGCTTTGCAGTGCCGCAATTTCGGCTCAGCCCCCGAATTGACGTACGAGACCGCCGCGCAACGCAGATACGTTTGGCCGAACCAATGTTGAAAAGGGCACAGAGGTTACTCAACACTAATGAGTGGGGGCAAGAGCCCCCATCAGTTAGAAGGACGCCAAATGAGCAGCAGTTTACATTAGACAGTGTCACTTCATTTTATTTGTTTTTGGCAAGTTAAAACTATTTTCAAAAGACACGGTGAGAAAGCATTGCTGTACACCTGGCAAAATGGGTAAGACGGACAAAGGGGCCGTTGTGAATAATCGAGCCCTGAACGATGAATTCTCTAAATAGTTAAAAAATAACTGCGACCGCCACGTCAATTTTTGTGCCTTTCCGAAGGGACATTTGCGTGATCAAAAAGCGACCTTGTGGCCTGAGTCTCACCACGTAAAATCTTGTAATGAAATTGAATTATCTTGGTTCCTGTCGATTATCTGAGGGAGACCCTGGGGGACGGACGGCACCAAGCACTCAAGACGAATAGTGACGAGACGCATGGGCCGGGGGGGGGGGGGTTGGCAGAAACGGTCGTGGCGGGGAACCTGTCTTGTGAGCGAAGTGGCAGCAGAACGGACTGGGGGGTTGAGATGCGAGGGTGCTGCTCTGGAGGTTGGGCTGGGAGTGCGGGTGGGTGGGGGAAAACGGTCTGGACGGTATGGAGATGCGCTGGCAGCATAGCAAACGCAGTAACGCTCGCGCTGGCAAGGGTTTGCACATGCTGGTGGGTGGAAGCGTTGCAGGCAGTTGGGCGGGGAGTCGGGAGAGATTGGCGTCAAGCGGGGGTGGCGCTGAAGTCTGGCGGGGTTGGGACTGTGAGAGTTGCAGGCAGTTTGAGAGAGTGCGATTCGCGGGGCGGGCGGCGGGCGGGCGGCGGGCGCGGGCGGGGCGGCGGCGGGGCGGGTGGACGCGGCAGCTGGCGCGAGACGCTCGTTCCCGCGCGGCTTTTAAATATCCGGGCGGCGCGACGACGCGGGGGGACAGGAGGGGGGCGGGAAGGGGCGAGGGGCTGAAGGGCACGGCACGCTCCGCCAGCTCCGCGCGCCATCGGACAAATCCCCGCCGGGTAAGCGATCCTCAAGCGAACGCATCGCATCCCATTGTAGCATGTTGTATTGTATCGCTATCACACAAACGATACGTTCATACTTCGCCCACGACAACCTTCTCCTAGAAACGTCTCCGCTTCTCGTTCTGATGATAGGCTATCTTCCGCAGTTGGTCCAGTATAAAAAAAGTGTCGGTAATAGGACTGGTGGAATAACACCGCAAAATTACTGAATTTAAAACGTAACTGAAATATTATGCAATAAAGAAATGTTAATACTCATATCAACAACAGGACAGTCCGAGTTTTTTAATTGTGTAATCATTCTTGATCTATCCTCCTTCAACTTTTTCTACACATTGGTAGATAAATATCGTTTGACTACTGTTCTAAACAATACAATAAACACATAAAATTTAAAAAAAGGCGCTTACGTAAGTTAAAGAAAAAATAATGTTCACCTTTGATGGAAGCTATTTAAAATATTTTTGTTAACTGTAATGATCATTTATTGCAATAAAATAAGTACAAATTGTCATCTTAAATTATCAGTCCCAAACCGTAGGAAGACGGGCGAATTGACACTGCGCTATGCGCCCCTCGACAGCGTCGTGCCCATTCACATCCAGACATTCCCCTTCGGATGACCCATTGCGGCGAATTGCGTGGTGGGTTGGGCCTCGTGCGGCCACTTCCGCCAGACGTAATTCCCTAGAACCTGCCCGAGAAAGACTACCTTCTGATGCCCCGGCAGATCTCCTTTCGGTTCTTCCGAGCGCAGGCAACGTGCTCGGGCGGGCGGAATGGCTTGTTGGCGGCCGCCGCGCCCGCCACAGGTAGACTGCTTAGCTCACCGCTGCCTCGTCTCCGTTTCTCCTCATTTGTGGAAAGGAGTGTCTCCCAAAATCTAAGCGGAGGGCCGGTGTCATGGCAGCGACGGTTCTCAAAATGTCAAGACAGTCACGTTCAAACATTCCGACGGCTTCAGGTTAGGTTTGGAATGGAGAGACCCACAGGGAAGTCTAGATTGTCATCTACGCCTTTCGCTTCCCTTAAGGAAACCACGACAGCTATCTTATGAAACGTCATCAGGACTCTCAAACCATCACCATTAATGTCTATTTTCGTATATCACGCACTAAATTCTTAAATGAGTATCGAATTTCTCGCATCATTCCCTTCAATGTAATAAAGGATATGTCAGCCCCAAATAAACAAAATCGACAAATGACAATAATATCGTTACTTCGAAATAGTATAGTCACACAACTGGAAAGCATTTGTATAAAGTGCAGTTTCCTTCGATGATAGACTATTTACTTTACGAAATTTAAAACAAATTCCTGCAAATAATGTACTCAATTTTGAGTCGCGATATTCAAAATCTTCAATAAGCCATAGTACTCGTACTTGGAAAATATACAGGAACCGCTCATCTTTTGGAAGAAATTTCCCTGACTTTTCCAGGCTTTCCACAGTATTTTCTTTTTATTTCTTCCTGATAAAGATTATGTAATATCACACTACATAAATAAATATTAAAGCTCCACTGATACTAACGTGACAACTTTCACATTTAACCGTGAAAAAAAAACTAACAATATTTTCTTACCAAATAAAAACTGAACGAAAAAGTGTTGTGATGATGTACTTATGTTACTATGGAATATTATCTATTTATTAACCCTCTCATTTTTTTTCTCCGGCTTAACCAGAGCAAGAAAATTCAAGATTTTTCCCGATTTTTTATGTTTTCCAGAGAGTAGCTACCCTGAGAAAGTGGATATTGGTATTTACTAACCAGAAACTTAAAAATTTTAAAAATATGCAATTTACCGTAATAATAATACAAATATCAAGTTGTTTTCGTGCAATGTAATTAAGCAATTGGGATGAAATGAGAAAATTTCATTTCTTCGAAGTTCTGAAATAGACATGTCATTAATTATATTTCTTAAAAAACAAAAAGAAAAAAAACCTGAATCGAATAGCTTCCGCACATCCTTAGCAAAGGTTAGCCCAGTGCATAACGGCCCTCGCTTCCCTGAGCCTTAACCCGTTGTTCTCCCATGCGGCCCCGACTTCCACACATCCTGCGGGCTAAACGCCTCCTTCAAGGAATTATCGGTTTTTGCAAAAAACGCTCGTCCTACCAGCAGTCATAATTTAATATAAATATAAGAAAACTATAGAAATAATTCTATATAATATATAAATCTATAGCAATATTAGGATTTTTTAAATTTGAAAAGTAAAAAAATTGAAAAATAAACATTTTATAAGTTTTGATTCGAATTTCAACGGAGTTTTTATACATTGAGATTAGAGTTTGTGATACTAATGCTAATTACCAGACAGCAATGCGCGTTAATTTTAGCAAATTTCAACATTCAATATTTTTAAAATTAATTATACAAAATAATATAAAATACCCACGTTAACATATTTGATCTAAATAATTCATAGAAATAATAGAAAATAATTAAAAATATAAACGTCAAATTTTAGTCGTTATGTGCAATTTGACGTGGAATCGCTCAGCTGCAGTAGGATTCCTAGAGCTCTACTCCGCAAACACGACTCTCGTCCCAGCACCTCGCGTTAACTTCCGCTCTCAATTGTCTACAATTTCAACCGAATGGCGTTGCGAGTTGAACAGAAAAATTTTTTTTTTCTTTTTCTTTTTAAACATTGAAAATTGATCTCTGGAATAAATTACGGGAAAATCAGTTGGCTTCATTCTAGAAACCAAAAAATTATCATTTATTCTACTACTGGTATTTCCCCGTGACCCTCTGCATGTTCCTGGAAACACCCTACCCCGCTTAACGTCTAGCCACTACGCATTTTAGTGCACTTTTTAGAAGGCACATTCCCAAAGGTTTTGAACCTGAAGTGATGGTTGCACGTCTCTTTCCCTTTAACTCATCATTTAGCGTCACATTCACCGTGACATCAATCCTGTTGTGTAGGGATGGCAGTTATGATTACCTCTTTTAGTTCTTTTAGTTTCTAAAAAAACACTATTCATTTCTTAACGCTTCAGTGTACAATCACTATTTTCAGAGATACGTGATGAAAAATATCAATGACAATTTTTATTCAACATTTTATCACACACAGATAAATGAGATAACTGAATATTAAGCTTGACTTGCTACTAAACCAAGAAAGCATTTTTTTAAAAACATAAATCATACTGAATATCCCCTATTCGTTTACTCTAGTCGGATAATTTTGTCCGGGTACTGGATTAACAAAAAAACGTATAACTATTACAAGAAAAATATCGCAAAAAACAAAGAAAACAAACATAACACGTATTCATGACGTGTTGTTACTAATATATTTAATTATTGTGTAACTACTTACCCTATCATTTACTGTTTTTATGGAGTAGATAGTAAATCTCGTGATTTATGTTTTAAAATAACGGAAGAGTAATCTTAAACATTTAAATTATTGTTATTATTATTATTATTAATAA